GCCACTCACATGCGGCTCAAGAGCTGTGTGCCAGAAGAGTTCTATTGGTCTCCACTGGGGAGAAAGGAATGCAAATAAACACAAGTTTCTATCAGAAAATCGAACAGTAGGCTACTTAGGACAGTCATGGGTGATCTTAGCCAGAGGGCAAGCAAGGCAGCTGCCCCAGCCCCCCGAACTGCCCTGGCCTTCTGCCCTAGGCAAGGATGGCAATAGGTTCACAGCACCAGCAGCAATGCCAGCCACTCACTACCATGGAGCAGTAGCAAGGGGGCCAGTGGGTCTCCCCCAGCTTATTGGGCACCCATGAGCTGGGTAGTGGGGGGGGGGGTGTCACCGCTTACTCCCCCAGGGGTTCTGGGGCTCCTCTCTGAATTTTGCCCAGGGCCCCACGTCTTCTTTAGAGTGGCACTGTGTACGGACCATGGGAGACAGACTGCCCTAATTCCCACCCTCTGCCTTGCTGAATCCCACTTCCCTCCCAAGCCAAACCCTCCAGCATCCTGAATCGCAAAGAAAAGCAGGCAAAATCCACATTCTATAAACGGCAAACGCTTGTTGTTTCAAACTGCTTACAAGTTGTCAGGGAAATAAGTGCTCTCTACAAAAGAACAGTAACAAAGCCGGTGCTGCTGCCAACTTACCAGCGACAGCAGGGGGACAAACCCCCCCCCCCCGGGGTTTCCTCTGCCTGCCCCTGAAACTGCCTGAGCCAGGGAGGGGAAGAGCCCTTTCCCTTGGCTCTGGGCAGGCCAAAGCGTATGACAGAGAGTGTCAAACAATGGTGGTGGTGGTGTGCAGTATTTACAGGCTGATTTCTGATAGGCGTACGTGCTTTGAGGGACAATGGGGGGTCTTAGCCACTGCCCAGTGAAGTGTTCAAGGTGCTGGTGGGGGGGGGCAGGGGGGAACAACTGGGGATTGCATTCAGGGCTTGGGGCTTGTGCATGAGACAAAGCAGGAAATGGGGGGAGGGGGGGCTCTAATCCTGCACCTTTTCCCTCAAGACAGAGTCCAAACACGGGGGGGGGGGCATCCCTGTCAGGCTGTCGTACGTGGCACTTCCCCCTCTAAAATGGGCCGGAAACGGAAGATCGAGGCCTCATGCAATTAGCAAAGAAGTTTGTAGGTAGGGGTGAGAATAAAAAATAGAACTTCTGGCATTGTGGCTTTACAAGCTTGGTGGTTCCGCCTCACAAGTCGAGGAGAAGCGGCTGTGCACTGCGCAGAGAGGAAGGAAGGGACCGGGATCCAGCCCTCACTTTGTGGCCATGAGAGCTCCTGTGCCCATCACAAGCTTTTCACTCTCTCGGGACAAACGACATTTGACCCCTTTCAACTTTTTTAACTTATACAAAAAAACGGCTCCAGAGGGCTACAGTTTTTCCAGACAGAGCAGCAAATGCAGAAGGAATGCTTTGTCCTGTGCCAGTGGGCATTTTCTGCTCAAAATAGCCCCCTTTCTTCCATAGGTCTGGAATCCCCCTGGGGAAAAGCAGTTTGTGAGGGGTTTTGAGTGCAGAGGAATGGCTTGGAAAGGGTTGTGGCTGCTTTCCCCAAATCTCGTTTAAAAGAATCGGTCATTTCTGACATGTGTAGTTTGCCCCTCCGCTTCCTGAGAATTAGTAAGACACTTCCTCTTCATGGAAGCCAAAGTGGAGACAGCAGTCAAAGAGGGACTTTGGGCCACTCTTTGCACACTGTCGCATTGTCTCTAGGTCTGCATTCACAGGAGAGATGTAAGACGACAGATGTAGCAGCATCAAGATATTCCACACATACACAAACACACACACACACCCATGTCAGAAGGCTATCTTAAGGTGGCAGGAGCCCCCATGGGGAACTCTCTTACCGTGGTGACTAGAGTGAATGCTCTGATATGCCCCAGATAAGGAGCACAGTGGTGACTACTTGGATGTGCACACCAAAGCCTGCAGTGAGGACTGCAGAATATTCCTGGACTGTACTAGCCCCTTGGCCAGATTCTGCTAAGTACAGGGTAGAAACCGTTTAAATAATACTCCAGGCTACATGTGATGTGAGTTGATGCTATGGCAGAATGTTCTTCCCATTTTTAAAACCCTTTACGTTCTCTGCATCCACAAACTAGACATCAGGGAGAAGAGTTCAGCTGTAGCCTAGGCTTCTCCCTGATGTGCTAGCTTTCTAAGTGCAGGGAACACCCCCCCCCCCACGGGGAAGTATTTAAGAATGTGTTCGCTCCTGCCTGCAGTGGTACAGAGCAGGGACAATTTTACCACCTCAATAGGCATTCCAGAAGGTGACAAGCCACTATTCCACGTCTTTTTCCTGTAATGCACTTGTGCAGATATTCCCCATTATCACAAAATCCCCACACATTGACTCAGTTATTCCTCTGAATGGACTTAAAGTTCGCAGCAGAGTCCAGGGCGGATACTCTGGAGCCCTAAGTGTACCATGCTGTGCTGCAACCATGAATGCAGATGTGGGGGCAATACTTGTGTGTCCAAAAAACCTGCATCCAACCAGCCTGGAGCAAACTACAGACTGACGCCAATACACCTCAGTCTAATAGACAACCCTGCTCTTCCTGGCGTTAGAAAAGAGAACCCAAACTCCTGGGGCCCTTTTCTCTCACGCACAGACACACACACTGCCTGTCTCGTGGGGTACTGTATGCAGCTCCTGCCTCCCAGTAAATGGAATTGGGATGTGAAGCCGCCAATGTAATTTACCCTGCAAGGACGTTATCATGGCCCTCGTAACCCAAAGCATAGGTGGGTGAGCAGATCCACCCAACCTGTGTATAGGAATCAGGCAGCTGTGGTTGTGTCTGGGGTTCCATAGATAGCACCTGTATATATTGGGGCAGAACCTGTATACTGGGGGGGGGGGCTCGGCTAGGTGGGGAAAGACAGAAAGGCTTGATACCAGGCGAGAGGGACCAATCAGCTCAGTCCGAGAGGAGGCAGCCTGGTCCCACGTCGATGGCTGCCTGGGCCCAGGAGTGGGGGGAGGTGGCTGGCCCAGTGGGGTCTCAGTAGCTGTCCTTGGCCCAGGGCCGGTTGCGCTGCCAGTTCCTCTCGTTGTGGTTGTGCTCAGAGTCGCGCTCCAGAAGGCGGTCTTGTGAGTCATGGCCATTGGTGCTGTGGAGGCCACTGTTGTGATTGCGATGTGGCTGGTACAGGTCAGTGTAGGCATCCGAATACTCGTCCTCCAAGTGCCGGGAGCTTCGCTGTGATGACACTGTCCAAGTCTTGCGGGAGGCATCACTGGCTTCATCTGACTGCATCAAGCTGTCATGCTCCACCGGGGAGGGCTCATTACCACGCTCGCCCTGTGGGGCCTGGCTCTGACCATCGAGAAGAGGCACAAAACACAGAACTGGTCACAGAAAGCTCCACGCAACATAGCACCCTAATAAACTAATAATTATCGTATGGCAGTGTGTGCAGAGTAGCCAGGAGATCCTAAGATTGTCTGGCAGCCAGCAGTTCTAGCTGTTTAGTGTTATGCACCACTAGGTGGCGAGCTAGACTTGTGTAACAACAGAACTGAACACTTTCAGAGTTCGGTGCATCACCTATTATAACTGCCCTGTAAGCCAGGGCAGCTTTATGCCCCACATATTGCAGATGAGTGGGGGAAGGGGGCGGAGAGAGGATGGCTTGCCGAAGGTCATTTAATGAGTTTGGGGTGGAGGTGAGATTTGAACGGAGGGCCTCCTGGCTCCACTCTTTTCACCCCTGTCAGCTCATCAGGCTATACCCAGATCTTTGCAGATGTTTACGATGGGAAGCACAACACACTGGATAACTCGCCAAGAGGCTGAACAGGCAAAAAGGCTGTGTGTAGACCAATGAGATTTCATGGGCAGCAGACACCCAAGTCCAGATGTCCCAAGGAGGTCTGTTACCTTCTGGCCCTGCTTGTGAGCTTCCCAGAAATATCTGGTTGGTCACTGACGGACAGGACAGACCTGTACTCTGACCCAACAAGACATTCTTTAAGGGTTGTTGTTGGGGGTTTTTTTTTGGGGGGGGGGAGGTTGTACCTGTAGGCCTGGAATGGCAGTAGAAGGTGTCAGGAGGTTCTGGCTGCCAAGAGTGTGCAAAGGGTGGTGGGTTGCTCGCCAGTACACCTCCAGGTACTCAGCCAGGTGTTCACAGGCATCTTCCAACTGGTTTTCATCCAGGATCACATCAAAGAGTTCCTGGA